GCAGTAATTTTTATTGAACTGTGACTAAACTTCCAAGTTGAATTCTTTAACTAGCCCCTCGGACGTTTCCATAGTAACAGACCTGATATAATAACGTGAGGGGCACCAGTTATATATCGGTTATTAAATGTAAGGCTACTACGATTAGCTATTAAGTGTTTCTAAGGTGTGTCCCAATTCCCAATTCCCATACATCCGTTTACACTCAGTGTGTACCTACTGAACGATTTGCTTATAATAACAAGAACCCATTTGTGTATTAAAACATAGACCTCAGTCTGTAAAGTAAGTCTTTTGAGTTTGTAAAGTAAATCTTTTGAGTATGAACACCTCCTAGTTACCATGGTGATAATTCCAGAGATATCACGCGATTTGGTAACAAAGTAAATTGTTATAATTGAATGCGTAGAGTACACTAATCATTGGCTTTTACTTTTAGTGGCAGTAATTTTTATTGAACTGTGACTAAACTTCCAAGTTGAATTCTTTAACTGGCCCCTCGGACGTTTCCATAGTAACAGACCTGATATAATAACGTGAGGGGCACCAGTTATATATGGGTTATTAAATGTAAGGCTACTACGATTAGCTATTAAGTGTTTCTAAGGTGTGTCCCAATTCCCAATTCCCATACATCCGTTTACACTCAGTGTGTACCTACTGAACGATTTGCTTATAATAACAAGAACCCATTTGTGTATTAAAACATAGACCTTAGTTTGTAAAGTAAATCTTTTGAGTTTGTAAAGTAAATCTTTTGAGTTTGAACACCTCCTAGTTACCATGGTGATAATTCCAGAGATATCACGCGATTTGGTAACCAAGTAAATTGTTATAATTGAATGCGTAGAGTACACTAATCATTGGCTTTTACTTTTAGTGGCAGTAATTTTTATTGAACTGTGACTAAACTTCCAAGTTGAATTCTTTAACTAACAGACCTGATATAATAACGTGAGGGACACCAGTTATAATGTTATATATCGGTTATTAAATGTAAGGCTACTACGATTAGCTATTAAGTGTTTCTAAGGTGTGTCCCAATTCCCATACATCCGTTTACACTCAGTGTGTACTGAACGATTTGCTTATAATAACAAGAACACATTTGTGTATTAAAACATAGACCTCAGTCTGTAAAGTAAATCTTTTGAGTTTGTAAAGTAAATCTTTTGAGTATGAACACCTCCTAGTTACCATGGTGATAATTCCAGAGATATCACGCGATTTGGTAACCAAGTAAATTGTTATAATTGAATGCGTAGAGTACACTAATCATTGGCTTTTACTTTTAGTGGCAGTAATTTTTATTGAACTGTGACTAAACTTCCAAGTTGAATTCTTTAACTGGCCCCTCGGACTTTTCCATAGTAACAGACCTGATATAATAACGTGAGGGACACCAGTTATATATCGGTTATTAAATGTAAGGCTACTACAATTAGCTATTAAGTGTTTCTAAGGTGTGTCCCAATTCCCAATTCCCATACATCCGTTTAGACTCAGTGTGTACCGAACGATTTGCTTATAATAACAAGAACACATTTGTGTATTAAAACATAGACCTCAGTTTGTAAAGTAAATCTTTTGAGTTTGTAAAGTAAATCTTTTGAGTTTGAACACCTCCTAGTTACCATGGTGATAATTCCAGAGATATCACGCGATTTGGTAACCAAGTAAATTGTTATAATTGAATGCGTAGAGTACACTAATCATTGGCTTTTACTTTTAGTGGCAGTATTTTTATTGAACTTTGACTAAACTTCCAAGTTGAATTCTTTAACTGGCCCCTCGGACTTTTCCATAGTAATAGACCTGATATAATAACGTGAGGGACACCAGTTATATATCGGTTATTAAATGTAAGGCTACTACAATTAGCTATTAAGTGTTTTCTAAGGTGTGTCCCAATTCCCAATTCCCATACATCCGTTTAGACTCAGTGTGTACTGAACGATTTGCTTATAATAACAAGAACCCATTTGTGTATTAAAACATAGACCTCAGTCTGTAAAGTAAATCTTTTGAGTTTGTAAAGTAAATCTTTTGAGTTTGAACACCTCCTAGTTACCATGGTGATAATTCCAGAGATATCACGTGATTTGGTAACCAAGTAAATTGTTATAATTGAATGCGTAGAGTACACTAATCATTGGCTTTTACTTTTAGTGGCAGTAATTTTTATTGAACTGTGACTAAACTTCCAAGTTGAATTCTTTAACTAACAGACCTGATATAATAACGTGAGGGACACCAGTTATAATGTTATATATCGGTTATTAAATGTAAGGCTACTACGATTAGCTATTAAGTGTTTCTAAGGTGTGTCCCAACTCCCAATTCCCATACATCCGTTTACACTCAGTGTGTACTGAACGATTTGCTTATAATAACAAGAACACATTTGTGTATTAAAACATAGACCTCAGTTTGTAAAGTAAATCTTTTGAGTTTGTAAAGTAAATCTTTTGAGTTTGAACACCTCCTAGTTACCATGGTGATAATTCCAGAGATATCACGCGATTTGGTAACCAAGTAAATTGTTATAATTGAATGCGTAGAGTACACTAATCATTGGCTTTTACTTTTAGTGGCAGTAATTTTTATTGAACTTTGACTAAACTTCCAAGTTGAATTCTTTAACTGGCCCCTCGGACTTTTCCATAGTAATAGACCTGATATAATAACGTGAGGGACACCAGTTATATATCGGTTATTAAATGTAAGGCTACTACAATTAGCTATTAAGTGTTTCTAAGGTGTGTCCCAATTCCCAATTCCCATACATCCGTTTAGACTCAGTGTGTACTGAACGATTTGCTTATAATAACAAGAACCCATTTGTGTATTAAAACATAGACCTCAGTCTGTAAAGTAAATCTTTTGAGTTTGTAAAGTAAATCTTTTGAGTTTGAACACCTCCTAGTTACCATGGTGATAATTCCAGAGATATCACGCGATTTGGTAACCAAGTAAATTGTTATAATTGAATGCGTAGAGTACACTAATCATTGGCTTTTACTTTTAGTGGCAGTAATTTTTATTGAACTGTGACTAAACTTCCAAGTTGAATTCTTTAACTAACAGACCTGATATAATAACGTGAGGGACACCAGTTATAATGTTATATATCGGTTATTAAATGTAAGGCTACTACGATTAGCTATTAAGTGTTTCTAAGGTGTGTCCCAACTCCCAATTCCCATACATCCGTTTACACTCAGTGTGTACTGAACGATTTGCTTATAATAACAAGAACACATTTGTGTATTAAAACATAGACCTCAGTTTGTAAAGTAAATCTTTTGAGTTTGTAAAGTAAATCTTTTGAGTTTGAACACCTCCTAGTTACCATGGTGATAATTCCAGAGATATCACGCGATTTGGTAACCAAGTAAATTGTTATAATTGAATGCGTAGAGTACACTAATCATTGGCTTTTACTTTTAGTGGCAGTAATTTTTATTGAACTGTGACTAAACTTCCAAGTTGAATTCTTTAACTGGCCCCTCGGACGTTTCCATAGTAACAGACCTGATATAATAACGTGAGGGACACCAGTTATATATCGGTTATTAAATGTAAGGCTACTACGATTAGCTATTAAGTGTTTCTAAGGTGTGTCCCAACTCCCAATTCCCATACATCCGTTTGCACTCAATGTGTACTGAATGATTTGCTTATAATAACAAGAACCCATTTGTGTAAATATTACATTTTATCATACCTACTATTTAAGCTTCAATTATCCGTTGAACATGGATATTAAAACATAGACCTCAGTTTGTAAAGTAAATCTTTTGAGTCTGAACACCTCCCAGTTACCATGGTGATAATTCAAGAGATATCATGCGTCTTTCTAACCCAGTATCGCTATAATTGTATAATCGAATCCGTAGAAAGTGCAATTATCATTGGCTATTAATGACGTGACATAGTTGTAGTCTAGTGGTAATAATGTTTTTTGCTAGCTGACTGAACACGCCATTTTGGAACTAATTTGATCGTCTCCAGGTCCCCGGACAGTTTCATCTTTAAATATCTTTGTTAATTAGTTTAAATCAGACTTATAGACAATAGATTACAGAACCCTTGATTTCATCGTCTTTGTACACTGCAGTACAGGAGTAAAACTCCTACATACAATCGGAAAATGATCTGACGGTGTACACTCTTTAAATGTATGATAACCTCCTTTTAAAATAAAATATATATTTAAACAAATTTGCTGTTAATTAGTACTTGAGTATTTAGTATCCGTGTAAATAAGTCCTCTTTACTGGTTTTTTGTCGTTGCTTAGTAACCTTAAAATGTGTGCTTTTAACGGTATAAATACGGTAAATATTTAACTCAGTGAGATTATCATGAACTAATACTCTTCAAAATTTCGTTAGCCAGGACTGATCTAGTGCAAGATGAAGTACTGTTAACTTTTAACGAGAACAAGCAGAGTTAAGTTTTCGTTATGGAGAATGGAGAATGTAAGCAAGTGATTTTTAAATATCATTTTCTACTGATAAGTTTTTAATTTATATTACAACAGGTAAAAACTGTCTTCTTCTCTGTTGGACGTTGGTAGGTTAAACATTTGTGTCATTGTAAACTAAAAGTTAAATTATTTAAACGTAATTAAATTGATACATCTCACTAATTCAATATATTTATCCAGGTGTTCGGGCAGAGTCGGACAGATTTTAGAAAATCGCTAGGGTACCATCCTGCAGAAGATGGTGAACATATTTATTAATAATAAGCACTGCTACATTTGACTAGAATATGATAGAGGAGGGAAAAATCCAACAGGTGAATTAAAAGCCCGTGCCATAATACCACTCTTTCTTAACTTTAATTATCTCATCAATCAAGGTTCTTCAAAACTGTCTTCTTCTCTGTTGGTAGGTTATACATTTGTGTCATTGTAAACTTAACGTTAAATTATTCAAACGTAATTAAATTGATACATCTCACTAATTCAATATATTTATCCAGGTGTTTGGGCAGTGTCGGACAGATTTTAGAAAAGCGCTAGAGTACCATCCTGCAGAAGACGACGAACAAATTAGCACTGCTACATTTTACTAGAATATGATAGAGGAGTTATACTGTTATTCTCCCCTTTGCTTTTTCGCTGAAGCTCGTTTACGGACAACACTTCCCCTGGAACTGGATCACGATCACGAAAGATAAAACCCGAAGGTGACCTACTCTGATCTTGTTATCTCAGCTTCTCACAAAGTAAATTTATCATAATTTCCGCATACCCCTCTAAGTAAGACAGTGCTAATTTAGTCGTTTACTATTATATGTTTCGATGAAATTTTCGAATTTTTTTAATAGACTCAGTTTCTAATGAAATTAAATCGTGAAATCATTTTCTAATGTCATTTATTGTTAACTTGAATGCAACTTGGTTGTGAAATAAGTTATTTTATTTCTGTGCAAATTTGTAGACTTATAAGTCAACTACTTGCAGGATAAGATTTTCAACAGAACCAAAACTCAAGAGCAGTACCCAAAACAAAGATGTGGTTTGCAAGGGAAGCAGTGGTCAAATATCCTGTTCAAACTAAACAGAATTCTCGTCAGATCCGGTAAAATTATAATGATTTGATAAAATTATCGATGCAAATGACAATCTTTTAGCTTACAAAATCAGTCAAGCAATCTTGACCATATTGTTGCAGATTTTGAACTATACCGCCGCAACCACATATAATGACTTAAAGGAATACTTAAACCAAGTTTGGGAATCACTTCATGTCTAGAACCGATGTAACAAATGTTCCACTTTTGTCCCAATAATCCTCCTGGGTATCCCATATTCAATTTGGCGACCAATTTGGTATTATATTTTCGTTAAAGCTCCTATCAAAATTATGTACAATTAGCACACGTACCTTACCTGAATTCTCTCCAAGAGAAGTGGGCAAATAAAATAATATATTGTTGTAATATTTCATCTTCATGACCGAAATGTTGTAACGAGATGTACACGATCGCTTACTTTGTCATTACTTTATTACAGTAATCTATAAATAATCATACTTTACACACATCCCTTTACACGCTGTAGGGTGAACACTGCACATAGGCGTATCATTCCACTTAAAATTCAACATTAACCATGTACACGCACTAATTGCCCATTTTTGTCGAGAAATGGTACATGAAAATGTAACCATTTATCGACAGAAATACGAACGAATACCAACCTTCCCAATAACACCAGTTTGTATCTAAACATTTGCTCCTAATAGCAACACTAGACTGACGTAATTTGTTATATTTTCAGTTACTGATGGACTGACCTGCCATTGTGTGATACTGATAGTGCGCCGAAGGACCTCTCTGACATGAAAACGGCTATTTCTGGAAGATAATGTACTGCTGCGCTGGGAATAATTTATACTCTATGTTAATGGTCTCCTTCTCCTTAAACTGTAAAACATACACTAATATATAGGTGAGAACATATTAGAATTTTTGGAATATATGGCTTACAAATACAATTTAGTCACACTGCAGTAGGCTTAATATTCAATATTGTAAACAGTCATAATTGTCGGTAAAGTTTTGGTAGTAAAATCAGTAATGCATCATGTCCCAAACCATCTGATATTGATAAACCGAGTTTCAACATCTTTGATCAATTAAAATGAATTACTTTCAGTTACTGCCGAAATATTCTTCTACAAATCCTCTACAATGATGCCGAAGGCTTGAACTTGAAGATTGAGTCTTAATAATAATAAGGAAACAATTCATAGATGTTGCTCCTATCAAAGAAATTAAGATGATATTTCCAGTTCATAATGATACACTGTGTACTCACAGCACTGGATTTAGAAAGATAACCATTATATATTATAATCCGTTGTTTCAATATTTTGTTTTCTTTGTTGATATCACTAACTGATCGATGATCTAATTAGGTTTGATTTCTAACATAAACTGTGATCTGAGAGAAGCCTAATATCAGTGTGTAATGTATTTGCAGTACTGCGCCGTGACGTAATAGGACAAAAAGTACCTGCCACCAATGGTCAACACCAAAAGCGCGGCGTACTGCGCGCGACCAACTATTTCGCCCGTACAATATATGGAACAGATATTTTACGAGTATCACCCGTTAATGCGCTATCCGAATTGGCGCTGTTTATATCTCCGCCAAAAGCATCACATTTTAGCATTAATGCGCGTAGTTTTCTTAACTATTTTCACAGTCGCGCCTTCCTGAAGTTACATTAAACAGCCTCTTTTGCTTTCTAACATACCAGTTTGGAAGCAAAATATTATTTAGATAAGTACCAGAAACCGAATTCGAACTCGGCACATTAATAGCATGGGAGCCGATATTATACTGGAGCGATATTTAGTAGAGAATAAACCGGTATACCTATGGTGTACCGGTACCGGTATACCTATGGGGGCTCGATATTAATACAATTTTGTTAGAACTCCTCCCCACTCCCGTATTATTGAGAATAAATTTACTTTTCCATACAATTGTGCACTTCAGTCTTATAGTAAACCTCAATTGAAGAAATAAACTGTAATGCTGCAGACCATAGCAACCATCTAATGCGCAACGATCCAACGCGAAAATTTAAATTCACATTTGGATATAATGCGCGTGAGTGCTTACAAATTTGCTTTTGTCGGAGATATAAACTGCGCCATCCGAATTTATCTTTTCAATAAAGAAAACGACAAAATTCCGAGATTCGCGAATCTCGGAATCTCTAGTATACTATTATATTTGCATATTATCACAAAAAACATTAGATGTTAGATTTTTATATCATGTTATATGTGTTGTGTTCACTTTATGAGTATAGTGAACACACAATGAGTTACTTTGGGTTTTGACAAAGTGAAACGATTTAAGTAGAGCTAAAGTAGAACTGAAGTCTTCGATATTACAACTTGTTTTAATAATCACAAAATCACTAACGCAACCGCTACGTATATACAAAACAACAATTACTACTAACCACGTGGTTTAAACGCGTGGTCTGATCGGCAGAACTGCTTGTGAAGTAACTGCCGACCTAAAGAGTCTGTTTATAAAATATCGTCTAAACTATAATAGAATACACTACAAACTATACTACAAATATCTTACATACAACATATACTCCCCCCTTTTTTTTTAAGACTGGCCCCCCAGTCGGGAGCGCAGCCGGGAGCTATGTACAGACATACAAATTAAAAAATACACAAACATATAATACAATTCAACTACTTTATAATAAAATAATTTACATTTTAGTATCCATGGAACATAGGCCCCCCCTTTTTTAAACACTGCCTCTGGCGGACCAGGGGTGGCTAGGGCCATTATATGCACGATGAACACTAACATATAACGACAAATACAATCAATCAATAGAAATACAACTATACAATGCAACTATAATATAAATTAAAATTAAAAAATGTTCGAGAGAAATGTCCATATGATATCCCTCGTCTTCGCTCCTTCCGGTTCCTAGAAGTTCATCGTTGTTCTAGGTTGTACGGCCCTTCTCCTTCTACAATCTTCTGCAGTGTGACCGTGTTTTTTGCAGAAGCTGCAAAAGTTCGCCTTCAAATGGTTGGCCATTTTCTCGACTCGTCTTTCCAGTTTCGATAGTCTCTCGGCCATTTGACTATTGGCCGCTGCCATGGTGATGCTTCTACGTGATTTCTTGTGGTGCTTTTTATCTGCCTTTGGTGTTTTTTCTTTTTTTCTTAGTTTTTTCTCTAGTTTCCTCTTTTTTTCTCTAAGTACGGCACAATCGTCTGAGGAGGAGGAGGAGGAGCAGGAGGAGGAGGAGGAGGAAGAAGGGGGCGATCTTCTTAGGTTATTATCGGAGTCGTTGTCAACAGTGACAGATACTACCTGTTCCAGAGGCTGTTTGGATGCGGAACTCATTGTGGTAGATATAGAAAATAGATAGTGATACGAACTTGAAAGTGGAACAGCAGATCTAAGAGTGAAATAGCGATGGACAAGACGGTAAGCGTCTCCTCTGCATGTAAGCATGCTTCACAGAAACTTCTGCTTGTCGGCAGCCTTGTTTCAGTGTGATAGCAGTCATCGCGTGCAGTTATTGAATGACAATATCTTCATTCGGTTGACCACCCTGGGTCTGGAGACTGTTGGGTTGTTCCTGTTCATTATTTGGTGCCCGCAGATACTGATCTTTCAATTGGTGAGTTATGATACAGTAGAGACAAGCGACACTTGCACACAGTATGACTCCTACTGTTACTGTTAACAGGATGCCGTGTACCCAAGAGATAGTTTTCTTCTGAGCTTCCGGTACTACGAGCTGTTCGAGGGATTCTTTTAGTCGTGTTATGTTCTCGACCGAGGTGCTCAGTCGTTTGTCCCAAGAAGTAAGAGCCACGTTTGAGCCATTGTATATGATGTTTGTCGAAATGTAGTTAGGTTCCTCCACGAGTAGTCCCTCCATTTGTATATAAGAAACTCCTCTCCATGGTATGAATTTTGTTCCATACTTGTTAGGTTTTAGGAGTTTCATTCCCTTCTTATTGTCATTCTTTTCGAAGACCTGTATGTCGTGAACCGCGGTGCCTATTAATATGCCGCTAGCATCGTATATGTACTTCGGGGAACATTGTGTTTCTACTACCTTACAACTCGTTAAGTTTGTCAAGCAGCTAGTTTGTTCGCTATTGTCAAATATTTCCGCGAAACACGTTGTGACTGTGTCTGAAACAACACAATTTGTTTCGTCTACGGCATAAAATTTGTCGTTTATAGAATATATCAATTTGGGTATCTCGAACAGTAGGCAAACATGATTTTTAATTATTCCAACTTGACGGGTAATGTACATTGGGAATAGATGTTGAGGTTTGAGCGCTGGATATTCTATAACTTGATGCACATTTAACGTATTGGAATAAATATCGAAGTGTGCTTGTACGACAGAAATAGTAGCAACTTTGTAAAAGTTGTACACGTTTTCGGAGTAAACTGATCCTTTGAGCATTGGGTGTTCTATTAAGACCAGGTTGAGGTCTTCCGGTTTGACAATTTTAGGTGTTAATTGCGATCTCAGACGACCCTTAGTAAGAGGTTTGAACAAATTGTCCAGAGTGTTAACCCATCTGTCCACGTACTGCATTGCAAGCAGATCTCCAGTGGTTTCAAGTATTTGGCACTGTACCATTTGGAATTTTGCGTCAATGTCTTCCTGCGACTTTCCGATCATTGAAATCAGCTGATCGTCCCATTCAATCACGTTTTCATCGAACTGGTGCTGTTTGGTGATAAAATCGCTGAACTTGCTGTCCAGTTTATCAATATGAGGCCCCTTCCAGCCATTGCCACCTGCCACCTAATTTGGCAGGTTTTACATTAAGACTGATAATCAATTTGAAGTCTTAAAATGATTCCTGCAAAATTAACCGAAAACCTGCCTATTTATCGTATTCGTGCAGAGATTTATCTCACGTAATTATTTAATCGAGTTGTTGATTTATAGAAAAGCCTGCAAAATTAACACAAAACCTGCCTCACCTTTCACCTACTCTCGGCAGGTTTGCTCTATTTTGGCAGGTTTTCCGTTAAATATAAAGTCGAATGCTGCAGATTTAACGCAAATCCTGCGTAAGTTGAGATAATTTGAATCAACTTGTGGCGTGATTAAACCTATATTGGCAGGGGTTTTGGATAATTTGAGTGTACAATGTGGAATACTGTAATGATCGTATAACCTTATTACTAGGTAGGGTGTAGGAGTAGTTGAGACTTGGTTTGTGCAAAGCTACAGAAGTACAGAATGCTACATGCCTACATGGCTCTATAGTTTATACTTTTATACATGCAGTCACTAGTCAGTGGCGAAACGACCGCCCGACACTCCGGCAACCCCTGCTATGCGGAAGGGGATGGGGGGGGGTGCAGCTGCGGCCTCTTAGGTACGTTTCGCCACTGCATATTATCCACTGTTACCAACACGGGGTCTATGATAAGTTTGAGTATAAAAGTACAAAAACCGATTATTGGAAAATAACTGTTTGCTTAACTTCAGTTCTTAGGTTGCCATTTTTAGATTAGATTGCTATGTTCTTAAGTAGTGAGGACAGCACTTTTTCAGTTGCAGTGCCTCTACCTGTTCATTGTTCACATTGTAAGATTTAGTGAATGAAGTGATTCTGAAAGAATCTTCAATTACAATTAATATAATAGTTCTAAATATGCAGTTATTTTCAGATTATGAGATATTTGATCGGAAATTTGTCACACGTTAAAGTGACACTTAATAAGTTGGACCTTAATCGAAATTCGTATTCACGAATTGGAAATAGCTCGTACTATAATTTATAGGTTGACCTCCC